AATATTAAATAATATTATGCGCTTATAGGGTATATAGATCGTGCGCTTGCAAATTGTGCAATTTTACGAAATCGCATCCGAACGGAAAATCATTGCTTAACAAGGGAATTGTTAAATGATTTATACGATATATATATATATATATATACTGATATAATTCGATGATTACTTATCGGTTGTCGTTATCGCGCTGAACATTGGATAACACGACGATAACGCGTTGTACGTTGCAGATAAATGGAGTAATTAAGTGTCCTACAGGCGACAGAATTTCATACGTTTGCCGTTCGTCCATACTCGTAACAGACGCGAGCGCCGAGCTCTGTTCGCTCATATTTGCTAAAAATGGTCCCGTCGATAGAACGTCGGTACGTGCAAGGATACGAGAAGTTTTTCGAAGTTATAAAATTAGGAAGTCCACAAGAGCCGAATTACGTTCTGTTCACCGGCACGAAGCTGCCGGATACCGGCAAGAGTTGGTGCTCGGATTGCGTAGAAGGTGAGCGGATCTTTCTTTTTTTTTTTTCGTGTCGACATAACCTAACTCTCGAGAATTATCTGGTATTATCGGATCTCTTTGGATAGCCAGAGCTGTTGGAGGCGAATTTTGCAAAATATCTATTGTAAATTTTCTCGGCAGCCTGAATGGCGGAATGACGTCAAAAGACGTCATAGTGGTGACGCAGATCAAAATAGACGTCACTGTGTTTGAACGTCATCATCGATCGGATTTAGTGCCTCATCTATAGTTATTATTACTGACGCAAGAAGTGTCATGTGAGCGTTAGTTAATTAAATTGAATTTTAAAACACCTATTGTTTTAGAGCCGGATTTAACTAGTGTTTATATGACATCGTTTATTTGATTAGTGTTTGTATATTTTACATCAGTTGTTAATACTTATATGGATATTACTAAACTTTTAATTAATTAGTGACGTGTAAACGTAGTCACTGACGTCTAGTAGATCATAATAGACGTCACTACGTCGTTTTTTGATGTCACTCTATTTAAGAGAGTGTTAACAAAAAATATGACAAGATGCTTTTCACGTAGTGACATAAATCGACAAATATTATATTTTTCTTAACATTTAGAGAGCAATAAAGGTAGAAAGACATTTATATTGACTTGTGCGCGATGAAATGGAAAGCATTCAGTGTCGACTTATTTCAGTAAGAATGAAAAAAGTCTCATACATCTATATCCAAATATATCCGAATGTAATCTTGAAATCTGTTATCGGAATATCACTTCTAAAAAATTAAATAATAATAAAATGTAAAAATTTGATATTCGTAAAGTGATATAAAACTACACAGTCAAACACAGCATTTTTGCTGTATACAATCGACTTGTATTATAGTTGGAAAGTACAGAATTGTGCACTGTTACATAATGTTGTTTGTATATGTTGCTAAAAAGCACTCAAAATCTGTCAATAGTATATTATGGTAAATTAACTGCAGAATTCAAGTAGAATTTGCTATTAATATTATCTGAATTATATATTTCATTGACCGCTTCATGTTCTAAAACTAAGTTAAATATCAGTAATCTTCAGATCAGATTTCTAAAATACAAGAAATATAATAGGAAATGATACGATTATAATGATGAAACGATGCATAAGATTATATATTTCCGTAAATAAAAAAATTTATCAATTACCTGGATTCTATAACGATTTTTGTACTATTCATCATTTAGGAATTTCATATCAAAATACAAATATAAGATTAAGAAATTTAGTTGAGAGAAAATTGTTTGAAATATTTTATTAAATATTATATTTTCGTTAATTAGTTTTAAGTTAATAATTTCTTATTTACTTTTATGTATATATAATACTAGAAATGAGCAAATGTAAATATGCATTAATGTTGATACAATTGATTTTAAATAATCAGTGCATTTACTTAGTATTACTTCATTTTCTTTCAGCTGAACCATTTATTGAAGCTGGTTTCGCAGATGTACCTCAGGGTACAGTATTACTAACAGTGGAGGTAGGGGACAGGGCGTTGTAAGTATATAAAATATTCATATTATTGCAATTGTTATTTTTATATGAAATCATGAGTATATACAATATTATGTAATAATTGTTATTTAATAACGTAAAATAATATATAATATGTATGTATAGATGTCATTTTAATTACCACAGAAAAATGTCTCAAAAATATGAAAGATACAGGAAAATGTTTCAAACTGAAATTGTATGGTCTGAAGGAAAATAAAAAAAACGATAAAATCAATTTTTTATCAAATTGTATTTTTATGGCTACGACCGTTTTTTAAATGGAATTGTATGATTATTTTACATATGATTCCTCTATACTCTTATATACAGAATGATTAGAGAAATCATTATGGGAAAAAAATCATACAATTTCATTTAAAAAAATGACCTACATATGACCATGAAAAAACGACTTTCTTGAAAATTGATTTTATTATTGTTTGTCCTCCTTTAGTTCATAAAACTTTCGTCTGAAACGTTTCTCCGTATCCTTTATATTTTTCGAGATATTTACTTACGGCAATTAAGATAGAATATATCCTGTAATATAAAAGAGGAAGTTTTAAAATATCTTTTATACACTTTCCTAGCTGGAAAGATCCAAATTGTCCATTTAGGACAGATCGTTGTACCAGGTTGAAGGTCTTGCCGACTTTAGTTAAATGGAGGACTGAGAAACGTTTAGAAGGTGATCAATTATTGAATCCTGAACTTATCGAAATGTTACTGTCAGATGTAGATGCAGACTAAAAATATTTGTAATACATATTTCTATATTTTTTTTTTATAAAAAATGCATATTGAATTATAAATGTACATAAATCACATTTTCACGTACGATTGTATTGTATATTCATTCTTTTTTATAATCATCATCCTTTTTACCCTACTTTGAAAAAAGATATAGAGTATACAAATAAAAATTACTTAAATTTAACTAATAAAATATATTTATTTTTTAAGCATTTGTATGCATATATGCCATAATTATATTGTAATAATCTACAATCTTTTGAGCAATAAAGAAATAAGGAAAGAAAAAGAAATATCGAACAATCAATTAAAATACTGCTATAAAATATATAAATTACAAAGAATTTACTTTATATCTACATTTACTATGAAACTATGATGTAACATCCTTCCGAAATTTTAGCTTGATCTATTACAAGTATAAAATACAAAAAACACTAATGTTATTATAAATTTCCTAAAAGGATCCATTTTATTTCACAATTGATGCCACTGATGCTGGTGGTAATATACGTACAGCATAATGAACCTTCTTATTCCTTAAAATACTGTAAGTATTGTCGAAAACGACAGAATCTGAAATAAAATTTAAACAATAAGAATCTTATTGGACCGTACATGTGAATAAAATTTAGGTAACAACGTCATTATTTGTAGAATGCTGCACAAGTAATATGAGCTTACAAGTTGTCGGAGTTTCGCAAGTTAATAATCCAATTTCATCCGATTGATGAGACGCAACCCTCCGAATAGGTATAACTTCTGTTTTCTTTCCATTAGTTACGTCTTTTTTCAGAATTCCAAATTTGATGTCATGACCTTCGCTTCGAAATTCCCAACTGAATACAAGAATATGAATTGAAAAAAAAGAAACTTTTCCTTCCGACATGTTGTAAAATATTTACCTTAAGATGGAACCCACTTCGGGTGCAGAAATATCGAATTCTAACTTTCCTCCTTTCCGAACGACGACGGTAGTATAATCCTCGTTTGGTTTATCCATATTGTTGATGTACATTTCTTTAGGTATCTTACCACCTTGGCAAATCTGACAACAATTTTAATTATTATTTTTCGAAATAGTATACAATATATATTTTACATTTAAGGCTTCTGTCTACTCACTGTAATTTAGATTATAATGTCAAAAGCGAGAAAAATACATAAGGAAAACTTGCAAATTATATTAAAATGCATTTTTTAATATATTTTGAAAGAATTTCATTATGTATAGTTTATTGCTTCTGACGTCATCAATTTTACGATCCGTAATGAATGGTCAGAAGCCTTAAAGAAAATCAAGTAGCTTTATTATCCTAAAAAAAAAAAAAGAAACGAATAAATGCATCTTATAAAGCGAGATGCAAGAGTTTACAACAAAAAGCCGTTTACAACAAAATTCTTCGACGAGATTTACAGATTTTTTAAACGAAAATTTTTGAGGAGAGGTATTAATTTCAAATATTATATTAACATTTAAATTAAGGAGTAATTAAGCTTATTACAAAATTTCACATATTCTATCGAAGTTTTCATTTCACCGGCTATTTTGTGTTGTGTATGTAATTTTGAAAGGGATTTAATTAAAATACTTTTGAAGTGTATCTCGGGTTGCCATCTGGATCTGTTAGTGTTCCTCCATAATGGGCTGGTAGTTGATCCTTCGGTATGATTTTAAGAATTGCTGCTTTCCATTTCAACGGCTCGGCTTTATAGATTTGTATTTTCGACAATGTATAGTCGTCTATAAATCTCTTAATAATGGTAAAAGCGAAAGCAAAGACTCTTGGAACTGCAACAATGCATACACTAATAGTTTCTTTTTCTGTTTCTAAAAATCTTCTAAATAAGTCAATTGTAAGCAATTCATTCTAAATAAAAATCACGAAGAATTATTTCGAAAAAGTTATTCTATAAACTTTCACATAGTAATAATTGTAATAATTTTTTTTTTATTATATGTATATGCTAACTTATTATCAAACGAGTCAGCATAGCATTTTCAACGAAAATTCAGAAAGTTTATAAAACAAGAGAATAATAAAAAGAAATAAATGAATAAGGATTAATTTTTCATATTGAATCGGTCATTGCAGATAATAGCGATTAGTTTTCAAGCCGTTGAGACTATTTGATATTTTGAAAAGGAATGGAATTGTAAAAATTTCGGGATATTCAAAATTAATACGCATCTTGCATGGATAACGTATCATAATGTATCATGCTGTGACTCATTTGATGGTCCATGTGGCTTAAAAATGTATATATTATAAAAATATATATTAATGGACACAACATGAAACAATGTTAAAACGTATTTTTCGTATTTTATAAGCAGTCCTTTTTAAAAACAAATAAAAATAATAAAAGGATTTTCAATCACAAACAATAGTGAAGTGGAACCAACCTATCACTTCAATTATGATATATATACATCAAGAGCAAAGCAATTAAAGAATAGTACACATATTTACGCTCTAACAATCGCGTTGCACTCTCATTATATTTTATTAATTTTCTTTTTCAGTTCTCTTTAAACAGACAATATATTAAAGAATATTTATTTTATTTTAAGCAATAACGTCAAAATAAAATCGTGCTGGTGCATTACGATTATTATATTTTATTAAACTTACCGTTGATTATGAAGCACATCTTTAGAATTTCCGGATAGTTCTCTTCATACATTTGAATGAGGGTGATGACGAGCTCGCCAGCTACACCGATAAAACAATAATAGAAAAAAAATGACACAATGTCTTAAGAAGAATTTATTAATATTTTTACCTGGTTTCCACAAATATTGCTTAAGATTAAATCCTTCCATATCGAAGATAACGGTCAATTGATTAGCGATCTGCCCATGCTTCTTGGATTGTTCTCTGGCTAAGTTCAAATAATCATCTAACAGTTTTATCATAATTTTGACGAAATCCTTCTGTGTTATTACATGTAATGCTCCGTACATGTCCATACCGACAAATGTTACGATGATCACTGTAAAAATAATATACATATACATATAATAAAAAATGATATAATTTTTTAAAAAAGGATAAGCAGAGCATTTCTCCGATCTCAAATTAATTTTCATAATTTTTTTATGCTTAAAAGTTTTTTTACTTTATTTATTATACCTTCTCTCTATCTTTTATACCTATAATATAAAAATATCACAAATCAACGTTTAATATTCGATGCAATAATAAAAATTTGACACAATTAAATGATAATTTTTTTGTCGATTTCAGATTTATGAACATGCAGGAATAAAGTTTGAATATAAATTATCTTTATCGATAACAGTCAAAATTTGTTCGATGCAATTAAATTTTTAAGAATTTTTGATAATATTGAGTAGTCCCAAATAACAAAATGACTCTTTCAGTTAGAAAATATTCGAATGTTCAAGTGTTAAAAAACGATATTTTTCCATGAGAGAGAAAGAAAAAGAGAGAATCAAAGGAATTAATTAAAAAAGATAATATGCTTCGAAATAACCGTGGTCATGTGGCCTTCGTGTGTCAGACATATTTTGTGAAGGAAAAGTATTCCTGAGAGTTGAATGAAGACCTTGACCGAGTTACCGAAATATTGAAACCTGTATTTCAGAATATGTTAGATTTATTGTTATTGTTTTTTTTTAACAAAAAACTATTCCGAAAGAAGATTTTTATTTTTGTTGTATAATTTTCATATTGTGTGCGTGCGTGCGTGCGTGTTTTGATTTATAAAGATGTGATATTATATATATATATATCATATCTTTATAAATGACATTGTACTCGAACTTTTACTGTAATTATATTGATTGAAGTTTATCAGCAGAATATTTGTTTGTTTAATATAATACATATCTTACAATTTTTATTATTCGCGAATTTTTCTTACAATAACATTTTATAATATTTCGAATAATTCGCAGGGTTGCGAAAGTTACTTTACAAGTTACTTACTAGTTCTTTTTTATTATAGAAATTAAATATAATAAATTCGAGGATTTTATTTTTTATATTCTGTTTTTGTATATTTTATCATTTGGTCCAATTTTGTATTACTTTTTGTCAGGGTTGGGTAGTGCTAAATTAAAAAGATAAAAGTTAAGTTAAAAAGTTAAAAAGTTAATTAATTTTAACTTAACTTAGTTACATTTTAGACTCTTAACTTTTTAACTTAATTTAGTTACATTTTATCGGTAATTGTTAACTTTTAATTTGATTTTTTTTAAGTTAATCCTCAGACACAATGCGAGAGGATAATGAGTATATAATTTAGTAATTTTATATTGTATAATTGTTATTTGTGAACAAATATAACCAGATTCTTTAATAAATATGTTGTGAAAAAAGAAAAATATGAAAAATTATGTAAAATGGTTAAACTTTTTCTTTTTTCTTTTTTTTATTGTTCATTTGGACCAAATTGAGACCAAATTTAACATTTAACTTTTCAATTACTTTTAATTAAGTTAAATTTTCAAGGCTGTTAACTTTAATTTAACTTAGTTAAGAAAAAAAGTCAACCCTGCTTTTTGTATTACTATTTCTATTACTCAATTTCTATAACAAACACATAAGAAAAAATATAAACACATGAGGTAAAACCTTAAAAAGTAACTTATAAGGTAACTTTCCAAACCCTGACAATTTGAGTGTTTTTCTCACTCATTTAATATATATGTCTGTTTTTTTTATAATACTGATAGAAATTGATATTATATATTGTTTCAATATGATGCTATAAACGTAAAAAGTTTAAAACAGATTTACGATTCAAAGATTGATTATACTGACTATAACAAAAGAGATTTTACCTGGTGCTCCATCTTTGTCGAATCCACTTAATCCATAAGGCAGGTATGGTTTTATTTTTTCAGGAATTTCCGATTTGTCTAAATTATCAGCATCCCACCGTTTTCGCCATTCTAACGACTATAAATAAATATTTTTCTTGTTTATTTCATTATTGAAGAATATGTATTGTGTCGTTCTTAATTATCAAAATTATCAATGTTTTTGATAGGTATTTTTCTGATTATTCTATTATTACACTAATAAACATGTGACTTGTTATATTGTATTTTTATTGTTTTGAATATTTTACAATAACATCTATAATATGTGCACATACCTGTGCTGCTATTTTTATTTTAATTAGATTTTATATAATAAATCTTAAAAAATTTAATCAAGAGATTTTTCCATCACTTTTATTTTTTGTGCAATAGCGCAAAATTAAAAAGTATAAATGTAATACACACGTAACATAATAAAATATCATAATACAACATGAAATATTTCCATATGAAATCGTTTTCTTTATAACATTAACGTATTCATATAATTGTTGTAAAAATTAAATTTCTTTCGTGAAAAACGATAATAAATTAATTAGATTGTACTATAAATATAGTATAATCAGCCATTTATTGCTTGACATACTCAAAATAGATGTAGATGACAGAAAAAAGTCACATTACAGTTTAAATAAATTGGCGGTATAAGTAAAAAAATGAAATTTTTTAAAATTATATCTGTTATAAATTATTCAAAATTCGTAGATTACAGTAATGTAAATAGGTTAAAACATATTTAAATTTATCATAAAAGTTATGCATTAATATCTTTTAATATAAAATTATTGAATTTAAAAAAATGTATAAGTATAAAAAATATCACGTATTTAGTCCACCCAAATATTACGTTTGTAACAGAAATTCAAAATGATTTTATCGTTCTGTGCTATTCTTCCGTGTAATATTTGTGTAAATGAATACGGCTTGTAGGTTTATATGTTACGGTGTAACACGTACCGTTGGAACGTCTTTAGTCGGTACTAAGATATCCGGAGACACACTAAAGATGAAAGAAATGTTTCTCATAATTTACAGTTAACCATTTCAGGAATAACGGGGTTTCACGCGGAATAGAAAGTGAAAAAAGATAATTTCCTGAAGAAATTACTTTGGAAGATACCGAGCCGTATCATAGATCTTCGGTTTTCAATCATTATGAAACTTCTCAGCGCAAGAATACGGATAATGACTTCGCGAACGTGCTTCAGAGAATCAGCACATTACTTTCGACTTACAAAATGGCATGTATAGAGAACAACTTTCTATTTCATATAAAATATCTACGAGAACAAAAAAGCGGTACTGTTGACAGCAAATCCTCAACATCCGATATGAACCCGGAAGGATACTTTCTTTAATTTATTCACGATAGAATTAACTACGATTACTTTGAATGATATTAGCAATTATTTAGTCGTTACTTACATAAAAAGATCGTTAAATTATTGTCTTCACATTAACAAATAATGCAAAACATTAAATCTATTATGTTTGCTACACATTAAATTTATTATATACAGGTATGTAATATTATTGAACATATATATTGTACATTAATAAATTCATTATTATTAAATCAAAGAATATTTATAAAAAATAATTTAAAATTTATACATTTATCCATCTATCTTTGTTTAATTTATGACGTGAGATAACGTTTCTATCAGACGAGATGGATTGACAATGAGGTGACATACATCTTGACATTCTTGACCGGCATTCAATTCCGATGAATAGAATTCATTCACAAAAAATAGATGAAGATTTCTCATCAAGATACGACACACAAAAGAAGTTTTTAGGTTGCAACGAGCTGTGACGCGACTCACTAAGTTTACGTCTGACGCGTTAATATTTAATGAGTCGCAAGTAATTCACGCGGCAGAGAAATTTAAAAGACTCGATGACCGTATCCGGAACGTGTTTCACCAGACTTTCTCAATTGGATTCGCCTGTGTTTTGTGTAATGCGAATAGTAAGTCTAATCTGAGGGAAAACGGAAGTCGAGTATGTAACCGGCGTAGCGTCCGGAGACAGATAATGTAAAATACACATGCATTTTATTTAGCATATAAGTGAAATATGAGAATGTAAGATATGCGATTGCGATATCAGAAAAAATTCTTGCACAATTACTTACGTCTCTCAGCATTTTTTCGGCTGCCGTAGAATCCCATTTTCTTGCTAAAAAGAATAGAAATATAAATTTATTTTAACTTACATCGTAAATAATACATTTCTCAGAATTATTTGAATTATCGATAAAAAAAATATTGCTTTATATGTTACAATATTTATATGTATATGTATATCTATTTTATATGTATATATTGATGCAAAATTTATTCATTTATTGTGTAATTTGCAAGTGCATACAATATATCAAATAAAATTTATACATACATTATTGTACATTATTGTACAATATAAAAAAATAATAATAAATATACAGTTTTTATTCATGTAATCACAGAGTTATCGCGTTTTATTTATTTAAAATAAAATTTATTAAATTATTATTCCAATAATATTGTTTCAATATACATTAAAAACGTTTTCATTATGCATTGGCGTTGTTTATTGGAGATATGAGTCGTAGCAATTTATGTGACTCGCAATTCTATAGAGGCAGCTAATAATAACCGATAATTTTGAGTTTTCTCAATTTTGTAGGTTTGTTTCAAAACAATTTAATCACTTCGCTAAGTGCCGCTTCGAAACGTACACATGCACACATATAAAAATAGGTAAAAGACAATAGAGTCACATCAATTTATGTGTGAATATTTCTCACGATGCGCATGACTACGTTACGTACACATAATACAGGATGAAACATTTATCGAAGTCACGAAGCATGGCTTCTTATTGTTAGATAATGACTGCATTATGCAGAAAAAATAGTTTTGTAATTATTGTAAAATTATTTAATATGATTGTTTTTGCCTTTAGTTGCTCACTGGATCTAAATATATAAACCAATCATATTCAAGAATTTTAAAACAATTGCAAAGATTTTTTTCTGTTAAACGCAGCCATTATTAATTGGTTATTGGGGAGAGAGGGTAGAGAGCCATACCTCTTAACCAGCGAAGCAGAAAGTAGTCATCGTGCTGTGGCTGTAGGATATCTTGCACTGACCGTCGGAACTGCATGAAAAGAGAAGAAAGGAAATATATAGATCTGCTTTGTTAATTTTTTATATAATACATTATATAATATTATTATTGAAAGCGTTCACTTTCGATTGCAGAATTGTATGATTTATGATATTATTATAACTTTATTTGATTTATAAATCGTACGTGAGAACGAAGAATGAAATTACTTTATAAATATGTATAATGTATGCATATGCGCACACATTATAAGCAATTATATTTATTTATTTTCATCAAAATATAATATGCTTACGTAAAGATTGTATTATACATTTTTTTAGAAACAGTGCACACTGACTTTGTTTATTTTGTTTCGCATTACCGTTGCACTGCAAGGTTTTCAACCTGCTATTCTTAATTATGATTTATAGGAAACAAATGCCACCGTGTGATATAATAATAATGATGTACGCGCGAGGAAGTGAAACTTCCTTGTCGATTCCTGTAATTATCAATGTTATCTCCGTGAAAGAAAGAAAGAAAGAGAGAAATGAAAAAGGTCCGTACTGAGTTGTTACATTATTAAACCTAATCAAAGTGTCTACTTTCACTTAAAATCACGGAGAGCGCAGAGTTCGGTGATATTAATATTTACCTCGCGTATATCTTATATAAGATGTTCATCTTCAAAGAATATAATCTTTTTTATACAGAGAAGTTTGCTTTTTATATCAAATGATTAGATAGAATGCGCGTTGCAAGACAACAAAGGTTTAAAAAATTAAAAGCAATTTAAAGATTATCTCGTATAATTCACTAACCTGAGGTTACAATTATATGTTTTACTACGTGTGTGTATATTGATTAATTTTTTTACAATTTAATTGGCTTTTATTATTCAAATGATTTTAGTTTTTCTCTTTAGTTTATGCTACGTAAATACATTATTACAAATTAAAATAGAATTCACATTTTTCCTCGAGCATTCGTATCACTTGATTATTCTTAAAAGTTGCTTAAAGGCTTTAAAACAATTCCACGTATGAGACTCAGTGACGGATTTAGACAAAGGTTACGTTTACACCGTGCGCTTAGTCCGCGACCTATACGATAGATATCTTTGATTAATATACAGGATAAACAAGGACGTCTATTGTATAGGCCGCGGCCTAAATGCACGGTGTAAACGTAACCTTTGTCGGTGTAGCCAAAGGCTCACGGGGCCCGGACCTAGCGGCGTCATCCTTCTAGGGACCAAAATTAAAAGGTCTTTTCTTTTTCCACATCATGTTCTGAACTGGTATTCACTGATGCAGTAAGTTAGAGTGAGACAGGTATAGTTTGTTTCACTCTAACATATTGCACTAGTTCAAAACTAGTACAGAATTCTTCGAAAAAGAACAAACGTAAAGTTAATTTTATATTTGTGCAGGATTGTCATTTGTGACGCATTTTTGCCAATATAGCACCTTGAAGTAGTGCTTGGGCGCACAAAAATAAAATCTTGACGTTTTGGTAAAAAAATGATATCTTTCGATACCTTTTTTTTATTATTCATTTATCTGAAAGGGGCACCAAGTATCTTAAAGGAGCGCCAAGAAGTACAGGGTTTAGGGTGAAAAAATGTGTAAATTTGCCATTGATGAGACTTTTTACAATTCTACGTATGAATTTATTTATCTATTCATGGATATCGCCTTGAACAAAATGTGAAATGCATATGCATTCATTGGACAAAATATTTTTGCTAAAAGAAGGAAAGGAAAGAAGAAAAGAAATATTAGCTTATTGTTTTGTCATCAAGTTAATCAAAATAATTCTTTTTCTTAAAAAAGAAAATTATTTGCACAATTAATCCTTGTCCAATTATCAGAACACGTAATTTTCCTGATGATAGTTACAATATAAAGTAAATATAGCATGTAACAAAAAAGTATTGCTGCAAGGAGACAACAATTTTCGATTAGATTTTAAGTCTATGAGAGTAGCATGAACTGTAATGAAAGTTTTCAGTAGAGCTGGATAGTTGAACAAGATTAAAGCATAGATTATAGCAGTTAAAATTCTTCTTACGAATAGTTGGAGGAAAAATCTTAACTATTCCATTAAAAAATCGCGAATTGTTTCATCATAAAATAATTGCCCTTCGCATGCACGAAATAACCGAAATGATATGATAGAATATATGTCGATCTCTTGCGTGAAAGATGTTATGACACTGATCTCATTTCTCAATAAACAGGAATGGAATAAAAGGGTGCAGACAGGAGTGAAAAGATCAGAAAAGGTCGCACATCGTCATTATAATTATCGAACGAAGTAAACCGGTTTCTCTTTTAAAGAACTGGACTTGTTTGTAATTGCGATGGATTTTTTTTCTCTGCATGTACGTCGGCTAATAAAGCTAATGATATTGTTTTGTTATTAAATATTCAATAATCGCATAATGAGCAAAAACGTTCTTTCTTTCACATTGTTATGAAAGTAATCGAGCGTGAAACGCTAATAAAAGAAAAACAGATTCTAATCGAACTTTACAGACGCTCAGTGTAGCTTTTTATATTCGCTGTTTGTTTTAAATGCAAGAAGTAATAAAAAAAACAGACATCTTTTGACGCCTTAATATTAGTTTTCATGATGCTAACTACATTCGTACATTTAAAAAGGTTCATCGAGTACTGAATGAAGGTCGCGCATGTTTAATCTCCGTCATAGCTGCAGACAATAGCAAGCCATTTATACACTGAAAAAAAAGATTGGCTG